CCGAAGGCAGATAAAACGGTGAGGAGCTTGTTGCTAGGACGCGTGGCCAAGGAGTCTTGGGATTTGGGGGAGCGGGTGGCGACATTTATGTCAGTATCTTGAGGAAGATCCTTAAAAGAGGCGGCTTTGACATGGGTATCCGACTCCTGTATAAGTGTATCCACAGATGAAGCTGAAACTAGTGGTACACCTATTTGGGCACATGTGTTGTTTTCATCGTCTAGCCACACATATCTTGCTTGAGGAACACGCGTTCTCTTGGAGGGGTTCGGTAAAGATGACCGGGACTTGGATTTCTTGGTGACCTTAATCCACTGTTCCGGCAAGGCCTTCTTCTTTGTTGTAGGACGCTTCCACGAAGCCAATGACCATCTAACAGTAATAGGAAAGAAGGAATCATCTACCTTGATCCAGATCGTAGGAGGAATGAAGGAAGGGTTAGTGGTCTCGAGCAACACTTACATCGACCCCATGGGAAGGACCTCCAGTGATTTCAGTTAATGGATATCAGTTGGCCACGCGCTTGGGCTAGTTTCTTGAAGATGACAAGAGACCAAGTATGAAGAGGGATGTCGTTAAAAGTAACCCAATATTTAGAGGTGTCGCAGACCCTTCCTTGGGGGACTAAGTACGCAGGAACAACTTTGCCCTTTTGAAGGTAAATTTGGAGTTGCTGCTGACTACTTCCTGGGCCAAGTTCGGAGATGGGAAGGAGAAAAGGATACCTCCCCTAGAGATGGTTCTGCAGGTAATATTAAGTTCCCCCCCATAGTTTCTGTGCCCATTTTTCAATGCCCCTAATGTCATTACGCTGAGGAACGAAGTAAATAATAAGCGCAGCTTCTAAATGGTTTGAGAGAGGGCGAGAGACTGATTTCAAAGTTTTTATAATCAGAGGGTGAGCAGGGAAGGATGAGGCTATCGGGACCTCTGACGGGGGGTGGGGGAGAAGGAGCAGGGTTGGTAGGGGTTTTGGATGCAACGACCTGTGCATAAGAATCTATAGGCAACCTCTTAAGGTAAGTTGCAGAGGATGGGCGACGATCAAAGCGGGGGAGTGGAGGCCGAGGGTAAAGGTTATAAATTACCTCCCAATTGAAAAAAGGAGAAGAAACCGTAAGGTTCCTTTCGTGTAGATCTCTACTATAGGACCTATGAGAGATGATCCTACCCAAGGCTCCACCACCTCCTTCTCTCTGCGCAGACTCAGATCTGTTCTTGGGAAAACCTAGGCAACGACTCCCCATTCTAAGAAAGTATTTAGTTGAGCTTGGACATCTTTAACCCATCTAACAACATTGAAATCTCCTCCCTAAAGCAATGGGGTATTGGGGGGGGGGGGAAGCATTTCCTATTGGAGTTTAGGACAAAGATCTTGGCGAGCCATTGGGCAGTTAGGTCCGTAAACAAAGGTAGTTTTAAAAAGAAGGTTATCTGAGATCCTGTGGAATAGAACATTGATGGAGTAGGAACATATGGATGAAGAGACAACTTGAGGTAGCCCACAAATTGGGTGCTCAGAGTCCACAATGAGAAGAGAGATGATGAGAGAAAAGGTAACATGGGTTAAAAAAGGGTAAGAGGATTTGGTGGGCGGGGGGAGGAGAGCAACATAAAGTGAAATTAAAATAACCAGAAACTGGAATACGTAAAGAAAAAGATAGTCAAAGGCATGCTTATTGAAAATGGCAGCAACTTGGGCGAAGCAGGGTCTTCTTGCGATATAAGGCGGCCCATTGTCTAGTTGGGGCAGTAATTGAGACCAAGCAGGCTTTCATCGAGGCACTTCCATTAAGATGTGAGAATAAAGAGCACGTGAGCAGGGAAGGGGGAGAAGAGATGGGGGTGTTGGGAAGAAGAGAAACTAGAAAGAGGGTGAGAAGAAGAGGTGTGAGGATGAGGATGGAGATGAAGGGGAGTTGGTGAGGAAGAGGGGTGAATAGGGGGGAGAGAAAGATGGTGAGATGAAGAGGGGTGAGGATGCAAGACAAAGGAGGTGGATGGAGATGTTGAGAGGGTAAAGAAGATAGGAGGGGTACAGGAGGATATAGGAAACGAGAAGTTGGGGGGGGGGGGGGGGGGGTTGGTGGTGGTGAAGGAGGATCGAGAGGGTTAGAAAGAGTGGGGGGAAGATAGGAGAGGAGCAGTGATTCAAAAAGCGGACCGCCTAGGCGGCCCAGAAGGCCTGGGCGCATCGCCCTGGCCTAGGCGGCAGTCCTTGGGCGGCCGCCTAGGTGGTACGGAACTCGTTTAGGTGGGTGCCCAGCTAGGGCGGCCGCCTAGGGCCTGTGCGTCGCCTAGACGGTATGGAACCAGCCTAGGCGGGCGCCCTGCCCAAAGCCGAAATTTTTTTTTTTTCAAAGTTGACAAAAATTGATCAAAACATCACCCATTGATATTAAATTTAATTTTTGATGTTTTATAAATATATTGGGGGGTTTTTTAGAACATTTTGAGTCCTTAGAAGCATCTTTGACTGGGCATCTTTTTTGGATTCGACTGGGCTGTCCAGGTTTGGGCGCTTGCCTGGGCCCCATATCGCCTAGGACCCCCTAGACCGCCTAGGACCCGCCTAGCGCTTTTTGAAGCACTGCAGAGGAGTTACACTAGAAGATTCAGAAGGAATCAAAATACATTTCTCCCCCCCTCCCCCGCTTTTTTTCCTTCTCTTACTTTCATCAATTTTTTTCCTCGGTTTTTTTTTCTTTTTTCCCCCCTTTTCCTGTTAGAGGGAGGAGAAGGGGAGGGGGAGAAGAGAGTGAGGGGAAGAAGAAGTGAGAGAGAGGGTTAAGAAGCTTAAAGAAGGGAAGGTGCACCTGAGGAATTTTGAGTGCCTACTTTGGCCAATCGGTCTACTTCACAGTTGGCTTCTCAGGGAATGTGCTTGAAGGAGATCTAAACTGCAGAGAAAAATATATGCTCAAAGATGTGGTGTAGGCGCCATGGGGCTGAGAAGTTCGAGTAGCCCAGGAAACAATATTGCTAGAATTGGATTCAACGATGAGACCTTGGGGTAGAGATTGAAGGAGCTGAATTTGTTTTAGAGCTTCCCTTAACTCCAGGGCTTTAGCTTATGTGGAATCAACGATTCCAGTGTATCTTGAGAAAGATATGAAGATGCCTTCTGAGTTGCTGCTGCGCCTCCTATCCCGAAGGACTAGGGTTCTTTAAAGAGGATCCATCTTTGTTGAACTTGAAGTACCCATGCCAAGGGGGAAGGGGGGAGGGGGGGGGGGGGTCTAGTTTACTCGGATAACAAAAATTGGGTTTGAGAGAGCCAAAAGAGAGTCCTAGTTATTTAAGAACAAAAGTATCTTAGAGAAAGATACTAAGTTTTAGAGAAAGAAACTATCTTAAAATTTTAAAAAGTGAAACTATATCAAATTTTAGAGAGAGAAATTGTTTCATAATTTTTAGAGTGAGAAATTCTCAGAGAAATTGTCTCAAAATTTTTAGAGAAAAATTATATCAAATTTTAAATTTTAGAAAGAAAACTATTTCAAAATTTTTCTACAGATAAACTATCTCAAAATTTTTAGTTTGATGTGTTCTCTCTCTTTGTGCCTTTCCAATTGAGTTTTTACCAAAAATGAAAAATATCATGCTTAAGTAATTTTTTTATGTAAAAAACTGTTTGCATATGTAAATACTTTTCCCAGTAATTATTTTCATGTCGAACTTTCACATGTACCAAACGATCCCTACTAGCAAACCAGGTTATACAAAAAGATCATCCAAACTTGAACCTGGGTACCTTTAAAGCTATCGAAACAGTCTTGTTTCAGTAATCGGGTTTTAACATAACCAAGGTTTGGCATAATAAGGATTTGATTCAAAGCCTGGGCTATTTAAATTATGGACCCAAATGAGCCATAAATCATGTAGAGTTGTAGGCCCTGATCCTGGGTTCCTTCTTGCGCTGTTTGACCATAATTCGGAGATCATTCACTCTCTTCCTACAACCTATGACACCCATAAGAAAAAAACCTATGACACCCATCCTTGATAGAATTGCAGTGTGAATGTTTGGCCTCCAATCCATTTTTGCTGTCTCTGCAATTTTCATTTTTCTGCTGAAGGCCTCCCATATTGCACTGCATACCTAGACCCTAGAATGGTACATATGAATTTTATGGATGCTCTAGCCCAGGTGTTGACTGCTTGGTTGCCCAATTTTCCTATTTTCTGCCCTAAGAGATGCATCGAGAGCCTTCCTGGAGACACGGTGAAGAACCCTTGTTTTCAATTTTGTTGTTTCATGTTTTCGCAACACCTTCGCCTTTCAATTCTTGAGCACAATCATTGTAGTTCTCTGATGACTCATCGTACCGTGGACTTGGCATTGGAGAAATCTTCACATTAGAGGTTTGTCTTGTTAAATCCCCTAGTAGTTGCCCATCTCTTGTAATCATCCCCTGGAACATATATTCCTACTGAAGTACAGTGATAGTTGTGTTGTGTTGATTTGGTGCTATTATTTTGTTTTCTCAATGGATTTCTCTTTCCTTGGCCATGTTGATATTCCCATGATTGATTGCTAGTTTATCATCTCTCCAAGGTCTTTGAAGTGTCCTTTTTCCATTTTATTCCATACTATCTTCTTGGATGTTGCTCTCAGTTTGTATTTCTTTATTGGATGCTTTAGTGGCCCATGTGTTGAACCAGTCTTCCTCTTTTAAGTAGTCATGTATTTCTTTTGATAATCAGTTTAATCTGAAGTACTAAACAATCAGATGGTATAATTACTTAGAAATGGTATTGACACTCTTTGTGGTTAATGGAATGCTATCCTGGTAGTATGCAAAAAACGAGTGTTGTTCTTATGTCCTGATACGTTCAATTCTGGGGTATCCATTCTTTTATTTACCCTGCTATTTGTGTGGGTCCCATGTCTGAGATTTTCATTCTTTTCTCTTTGCCCTGTGTTATTTGTGTGGAACCTATGTTCTATATCTGCATTGTTATGTATGGTAGTTTGATAAGTATTTGTGATTGGGCAGGGAGGATTATACATCTGGCTCGGTCCCAAAAGAGCAAGCTAATTGGTTCTTACAGACTGTTGCAACTTTTATCACTTCATGCTCTGTAGAGCAGATACGCTTGGCACCTGATAAATGTATGCACTTTTTTGTCTTTTAAAATGCCATTCATCTATACTCAAGAAGCCTTTTTTTATTAAATAATTTTGAATAATTGAATTCTTCTGTGCTTATTTTTTCATTACGAATTTCTGCACAATGATAATGTTGGTGATGCTGTCATTTGTCTAAACTTTTTTTTTTTATCGTTATTTTCAGTTATTTCTCTTTGTAAAAGGTTCAAAGATCAAGTTTTGCAGTTGCAAGCACCTATGCAAGGGATTGCACCCATGCGGACTGCTATTCGTAAACTTCAATCTTCAGCTGAGCATTTAACTTCTCTACATTCAGATTTCCTTCTTTTATGCATAGTTGCAAAGTGCTACAAAGCTGGTCTAAGCATTATGGAGGATGATATCTTCGAAGTTGACCAGCCAAAGGACTTCTTCCTGTATTGTTATTACGGGTTAGAAATTCACCTCTTTTGTTGAGTCTTTGATTGTTTGAATTAAGGTTTAAAAATGCAGATTTGGGTCAGGAATCCCGACTCATTAGTTTCTTTATCCCTATTCATTTGAAAAGACTCTGACAAGTCTTGGAGAGACTCGGCCTGGGGTGAGTCTCGAATAAACTTGTTGGAGTCTTATAGAAACAAATACAAAATAATGGAATCAATCAAGTTTTAGTATCCACTTCCAAGATTAGGGCACGTTATGACGCGAGTTGACTTGGCAAGGTCCTACTCGACTTACTATGTTATAAAGCGCGGAATTGCATTTTATTGGATAGATGTGAGTTCCATGTGCACTTAATTCTAATAAATACTATGAAAAAACATAAAAAAGCTGGTATATGTTGCATGCAAGAGAATATAGAGTGCAAACCTCTTTAGCTAGCATGGTTACACTAATTTTCTGCATAGATGATGCAAATTTATTACAGCACCTACCCTCTCTTTCTACACTGCACATTTACTCCTTCTTGTGCTTGACCTAGGTGCTCCAAGAAAAAGAAAATATTTCGCTAGTAAAATGGCCAAAATGTGTCCTCATATAGGGTGAACACTAGCCATCTAGATCCCGATGTGTGCTTCAGTTTGGGCCATTTGACCTATATTGTTCCATCTGCCGGGCAGCTCATAGAAATGTGGTAATGTGTAGATATCTCTCCCTTGTGTGTGTGTGTGTGTGTGTGTGCACACACACATGCGTGCAAGTGTCAAATAGCCCAGATTGAAGCAATCTAACATATTGTTGGGCGGCTCACAGAATATATACTTATGTGCGTGCGCATATGCTTGTGTTTGTGCATGTGCAAAATTCATCAGTTAGCAATGATGGCATACATGCATTTTGCTCTAATTTTGGTGCGATATGTGCGAGTTATTCTAATAGAACTTCTTATCCAGGTCATTGGTTATAATACTTTTTAGTTAGTAAGCTAAAGCCAGTGAGATACATTTTTCTCTTAAATGTCTCACTAGCTACATGTAATGAATGGAAGTGACTTCATCTCTATGGTTTGCAAACGATAGTTTATCCACCATTTTTTTTTTGAGTAAAGTTAACTTTTGTATTGCTAAGAGAAGTTAGATTACAGATGTGTGGTAGTCCGAAAGAGCCCTCTAAGCAGGTCTCTCAGTAAATAATACGTCAGCAGACCTTATACAAAAAATGGGCTTATATACCTGCCCGATTACAAAGGAATTACAGTAGGTTCACAAAAAATTGGGCTTATAGAATTGCCCAATTACAATGAGATGTTCTACGTTGTGTGCCCTCTATGGTCCAGAGCAAAGAAGGAGATGGGCCGAGGCGTGGTCTTCTTCTTGGGTCCTAGCCCCGTCTTTTGCTAGAAGATTGGCGAACTTGTTGGATGTCCTCCAGAGATGCTTCCATGAGACGACTATATCCTTGCAAATGTAAGCAATTTCATCAAAAATCGAAGATAGGTACCATGGAGGTGGTGTTGTCCCGGTTGCTCAAGAGATGATATTGTGTGCGCCTCCTTCCACTATAATAGGTGTGGTCCCTAGGACTGGTTGAAGCTTTTGAGACCTAACAATAGGGCCATGGCTTCAGCGTATTGAGAATCTTTATGGCCTAGATGCTCAGAATAGGTGAAGAGAATATTGCAATGATGGTCTAAAGACACCTCCGGCTCCTGCATGGCTGGGGTTCCCTAGAAAGCAACCATTGAAATTGAGCTTGATGGTGCCCTCTGGAGGTGGCAGCCAGGTGTTTGGTCTTTGCACCTTTCGTGGTTGGTGGTAGAGTATGTTTTCCCATTGGCTGAGAAAGGTGTTCGCTGAAATGCCCTAGAAACCCTTGTGGTTGGATGCCCAGAATGTTACTAGAGAAGTAACCTTGTGGAAAAGTGCTGATACTTGGGAGTTTGTGACCTTGGCATATTCTGTTATTCCTTTCTACCCAGATCACCCATATGGAAGCGATGATGGTGGGCTCCCAATAAGGTTCTGCCGGCCTTCGGCCAATGTGACGCATGTTTTAAGGAAATTAGGGCCCTAACCATCAGTGGAATAACCCATTGGAAACCAAACAACTGCAATAATTGACTCCAAAGGTTGTGAGCTAGCTTGCAGTGGATGAAGATTTGTGGATTCGAATCCTCCTTGCTCAAACACATGGCACATCTGTTGGGGATTGGAATCCCTCTCTTTTGAAGCTGGTCCACTGTGAGTGCCTGTTGAGAACAAGCAATCTAGTTGAAAGTCTGATATTTGGGAGGGGACCTTAGATGGACCAAGGTACGATTAAGAAGAAAGGTGGGGGGTTGGATGAGCCTTTTATAAAACGAGGCCACCGAGAAAGTACCACAGGGGGTTATAGTACATACCATGGAGTCCCTCCCTTGTGTAGAGATGAAGATAGAATGTAAAGCTGTCGAGAGTGACCTGAAGTGGTTGGTTTCCTTGTCTGAGATATTTCTTCTGAACGAGGGAGTCTTCGGCCTCCTGACAGTACCATTTCCTCTGCGATGGTAGAGTGTTTGTTTGAGGCAAGAGAGTAAAGGGAGGGAAAAAGGTCCCTTAGGAGCGCACTCTTGTTCCTTCTCTTGGATGGAATCTGATGAATTTTTTGAATTGTGAGAGGGAGGAGGTGAACGACTTCCACGCTCCTGAAGCTCTACTCTGCTGCTTCCTCTCAGGCACCCAAACTCCTTCCGAAATCCTATATTTGCTACGTACGACCTTATCCCAGAGGGAGTGTGTATGAGTGGCTAGGCTCCACCACCATTTCGCTAGAAGGGTCAGGCTATGTTTTCTGAGAGTCCTAATCCCTAGCCCTCCCTGGTGTTTGGGTAAGAAGATCTTGTCCCACGGTATTTGGTTCTCTCGGCTTGTCTTGACCAGAGGAAATTCCTCATAAGCTGGTTAAGGTGGTTGGCCACTGAGGTTGGCAAGTGGAAAAGAGACATGAGGTAGACTGGAGCATTTGCCAAGTTTGCTTTTATCAAGGTGGTACGGCCAGCCATAGAGAGGTATCTCCCTTTCCACCCTGCCAGACGCCCGTAAATCTTGTCTATCACATGGGACCGCTGTCTCTTTTTTGGTTTTTCCAATCCCAAGGGTAGACCAAGGTATGTTGTGGTAAGTTCCTCCACTTTACATTCCCAATTTGGGATAAGCACCCTGATTTCAGCATTCGTGCGTGCCACTCCCATCATCTTTGATTTGTTCATGTTAACTTTGAACCCTGTAACCACTTGGAAGCATTTGAGATAAAGCCTCAGATTATCAATTTCTTCTGGCGAGGCATCAATGAACATCAAAGTGTCATCTGCATATTGAAGATGGGACACTGTTAGGCCTTGGGGATTGCTCTTGAATCTAGTGGGGAGACCTTCTGGGTGCAAAAGGGAGATTGAACGGCTGAAGACTTCTGCTGTAATGGTGAACATGAAAGGGGAGAGTGGATCCCCTAGGCATAGCCCCCTCGAGGATGGGAAGAAACCTTTTGGGGTTCCATTGATGAGAATTGAGACGTGAGGATGACAGTAGCAACCTCTCATCCACTTTCTCCAAAGTCCCGAAATCCCATTCTAGCTATTGACTCGTCCAGAATTGACCAGTCAACATGGTCGTATGCTTTCTCCTAGTCTATCTCAAAGATAAGACCAGGCTTCTTGGACATGTGCCTTGAGTGAAGGCACTCGGGTGCTACTAAGGTTCCGTCTAGGATTTGCCTATCTTTGATGAAAGCTGTCTATGACAGTGATATGATTAAAGGAAGGACTTGTTGTAGCCTTGAGGCTAGAACCTTGGCCAGAATTTTGTAAGTGGAATTGAGTAGGCTGACTGGACGAAAGTCCTTTAGTTCCTCTGCCCCTTCGACCTTGGGGACTAAGGCTATGAAAGTGGCGTTGATGGCTTTGTGGAGGATTCCCCAATGGAAGAATTCAATGAAAAACCTTAAGAAGTCTGAACTGAACGTTTCCCCAAATTTTTTAAAAGGTGCTATGGGAAACCCATCTGGACCGGGGGCTTTGTCTTTGGCTAGCCTTTAAGATTTCTTCTTTCGAGAAAGGTCGCTCTAGCCAGAGTGCCCAGTCAGTCTTCAGGAAGGGGTAGGAAATCAAGAGTCATCATCCTCGGTCGGTCTTGGGCCCGAGGAGGCAGCATATAGGGTATGGAAGAAATCAAGGATGGCCAACTCTATTTCCTCAGGGTGTACGAAATAGCGATTGTCCACTTTGATTATCGAAATAGTATCGTCTCTTTTGCGACAATTAGCTATCCGGTGAAAGAAGCCCGTATTTTGGTCCCCTGCTTTCAGCCATTTAACTTTTGACCTCTGGTACCAGTACAATTATTTTTTGAGGATAGAGAAGTATTCCAATTTTGTTTTGGTTACGAGGTTTGATTATGTGTCTGTTAGAGGTCTGGACTCCTCAGTACGATCTAGGTCTTGGATGGAATTTAGTAAATAGGACTTGGTTTGGGAGTACTTACCGGGGATGGACTTACTCCAGGTTTTGAGGGAGGCTTTGAGGAGTTGTATTTTGGTTTGGAGCCTATAACCTGCTCTTCTTGAAATATGCCCGAAATCTGGCCGGAAAAGGAGTTCTACCAAATTGGAATCAAGGTGGGGAGAGACTCCTCTTGAAGCCAGGCTAATTTGAATCTAAAGGGTTTTGGTCCTCTCCTAACTGCTAGGGTATCTAGGAGGACGGGGCAGTGGTCAGAGGTGGGCTTAGGTAAGGTCACGGCATGAGAGCCCGGAAAGTGTTCCTCCCAATTCAAAGAAAGAAGGAATCTGTCTAGTTTTGAGAGGGATGGTTGGGGTGAGTGATTGGACCAAGTAAAACGGTTTCCTGGAAGAGGGATGTCTAGGAGTTCCTTAAGGAAAACGAAGTTCGAGAGGTCCCTCATTCCTTGAGAGATTGTGGGATTGGAGTTGCCAAATCAGTTCATAATGTTAGCCACCCTTTCTTGTTTTACTGGAA